AAAAGTTTAGATTTTTTTTTTAACAAAACTTGTCTTTAAATTAGGGGGAGGGGAGAGATTAGTGAAAATGACAGTAGGGGGCCTCCAAATCAATGTAGGCCCAAGGGCCCCCAAATCTGTTAAAACGGCCCTGACATTAGTGCATATAAATATTTGTCAGTAAAGAAAACAATCATTCAGAAGTAATTTTAAAGAACTGTAAATGGAAATGTCTTAGTTGTGAACAAACTAAGATAAATACACTCTTGAAAGCATTACTCAACACATTAAGCATGCCTATCAGCAGTGACACTGCAATTTTTGCTCAAAATAGATGCATTATTAAACAAACTAGATATGCTCCCAATTTTATTGCATTAGTTGGTTTTACATTATATGTAATGAAATAATATTTCAGAAGGTAAAGATTAAAATTTTTGTCTCAAAAAAATTTGTATTCAAGTTTTATAACAAGGGAATGACATTTATTGTAATAAAAAAGCAAAATATGTACATATTTATGTATTTATTTTTTCAAAAATATATACCAAATAAAATATTTATTTGAAGTATTCACAGGCAACAGTATAACTAGTATAGCCTGAATCATCACTAGTATGATTCATAATTGATATTTTGTGTGTGATATACATTAAAGTTATTTAAGTAATATCAAATGTTAATGAGGTAAAAAAGGCCAAACATCATTTAAAGTTACAAAAGTTGCAAAGGTTACAAAAGTCAAAAGTTACAGAAGAAGTTTCAATTCCATGTGAGTTTTAACTATACAATAGTAGACTATAATGAAAAATATGTAAAATAAACATTCATTACAGTACTTAAAATTGCTCTCTGCAAGCATTCAAATTTCTAAACAGAAAACATCAATGATCAGGCCTTCAAATGGATTCAAAGTGGCTCAATGAAAGTCCTACCTGAACAAAAGAAGTAACTGAACACTAGTTTTCACCACACAATACTGGGTTTATTCAAAACACATAATATGCAAAATATGTATGTGGGATGTACAATGTTGTTTTAAGGATCAGGCTTGTATCTGAACTGTTATACCATATGGCCATTAATAAATCTGGCGGAGGGTATGTGTATGTTAAGGGAACAATCCCTTTAACCCCCCACCTCTGAACTCAACAAAGTGATAAGATATTTAAAAAATAAAGGAACATGTTGGCCAAGCGCCAGGAACCTCCAAGTTCTCCATCTCTCTTGGGCAGAGAGAATATGACATCTGCAGTATTTATATGCAGATGTAGGCACTGTTTGACTATCCCCTTCTCTGAGAATTGACACCGGCAGTATCAACAAAATTATTTGGTCAAAGTAATGTGGCATTATATTAGTATAAAGAAATTCTAACTTCTGAAAGGGCTTCAAATGTGCCTTCTGAAGCATCCATTGCTAATTTGATACAAGCAGTGATGAGGTGTTGTCAATGTCGTACCAACTGGTTTTGTCAATTCCACCCATCAATGTTGATACTTAGAGAATGGTCAAATCAAAGTGGCAGTCAAACAGTTCTGGTATCTGCCTACGAGTACCGCAGATGGAATATTCTCTCTGGTCAAGAGAGATAGAAAACTGGACTTCCTGGGGCTCGGCCTTCATGTTCCTAAGGTAGTGCTGAATCTAGGTTTACAATTAGAAAAATCTATAGATCCTATTTACTGATTGCTGAGCTCCTATAAAAGTTTCTACCAACTGATATTAAAGATCAACAAACACTGAGGCTCAATTGGCACTATACTGAACAATATATAAGGGCCTATAATAAAAAATGCACCAATGATGAGGTAGCTGTCTGGGAGAAGCTGAGATCCCATGGGAGACCAGTCAAGGTACACATAAATTATTCAATTGGAATGTCTTTTAGAGGGACTTCAGTCTTCTGAAACCTGGCCTTTTTATCATGGCACTGCAACTGAGATCGAAGGCCCAGAGAAGATGTTTATTGCAGGAAGTGCAATAAAGCAATAGAAACCATGAACCATATCCTTGGTCAATGCACTTTTACTAAACCTTCAAGAATAAATCATAACAAGATCATGAGCTTCATAGAGAGGATGGTGCTCTGAAAGTCTGACTCTGTAGTGTCCATGGAAACCCTTTTCTTTTGTCACTGAAATGGTTAGACTCAAACCTGACCTGGTAATAAAAAGCCAGGAAGAGGTACCACATGGTTGACATGACTGCCTCAAGGATGGGTCTAGCCTTCTGAAAGCTGGGGAGGAAAAGGTGATAAAAAAACAACCAGTTATTTCCATGAGAACCCAACTTCTTGGAGTTGTCCATGCCAAAATCCTGTCAGTGGAGGTTGGCATTTCTGGGGCTATGCCAAGATCCACAGTCAGTGTCCTCTAGATATTGGGGATCATGTTTCAAGACATCCTACAGACTACCTCATTAATTGCTCTCAGGAGTTCTACTATGCTTGTCACCCAATTTGTAAATTACAATGGAGCAATTTAGCACTGAAGTTAGTAAGTGCAGAAAAGGAACTTCTCCTAGTTCCCTGCAGAAGTTTGGGGAATCCAGGGGGATCCTCAAATGCTTAGGAATCACTTAGTTACCAAGTCTTTACATGTGAAGTGTATTTTATTTAATGAGAAACAACAAATTGGGTAGATTAAAACCATGTTTATGGTTGGTTCTTGATACTGAAAAACTGATAGCAGAACATCTGTCTGCCTGTCCATCTGTGGTCAACATTATTTAGCCTAAAACATGATTAATTTTCTTGAAAATGATACTTTCCAATCAATCTAAATGAACACAAAGGCATGAGAATTTGAAACAGATATTTTGATTCTGAGAGAACCTTACATGAAGTGTCAACTTTTTCAGAATTTTCTCGCAAATGGCTTCACATTATATAATTAAAGTTTGTCCTCTGATAGTATAAAAGATACTTAAAAGAATGGCATAGGTTTCATTTTTGTTGAAATCTCTGATTTTTTCAAAAATTGCAAGAGTTCAAAATTTTTCCAGTGTCTTTTTACATCTAGAATTTTGAAGATAAGAAGTTTTTCTTTTTTTAATTAAAATTTGTTGTTCAAAAACAGATCTTGAAATAAGGTTATGAAATAAGGGTACGTCCTAAAAAAAATACTTAGATGTAAAAATTTTTTGCACGATTTCTGTTTCATTTTTTAATGCACAAAAACCCTCTTCCCAAAGCACTTCAAATTTGTTCTTTAAATTTTTTCCATGAATAGTGCATGGAGCACTTAAAAGAATGGTGCAGGTCTCATTTTCGTCAAACTCTGAATTTTCGAAAATTGAAAAAGTTACAAATTATATGAGAAAGTATGTGATGTTGTAGTATATGGGTTTCCCCTACTCCCATCTCTTTTGAGCTATTTGAATATGATAATTAACTTTAAATACACATTTTCAAAACTCAAACTATGAAAAAACCATTAGTAAACCCTCAAGATTATGACAACAAATTCATGGCATGTTTGATCAAGTAGTGCTACAGAATTGTAGGAATGACACAGACTTTTCATACTAGTAAGTTTTCTAATTTCTTTGGTCTGGTTTCACTTTGTGATCTTGTTCCATCCTCTTGCCAGCTGCCATCTATCTGTCCAAAGACCCTTGTATTTTTCTTCTTTTTTTCTTTTCTTTTTCTTTTTTTCTCAATTTGATTGTATTGACATGTGCATATTTTTTTGAAGAAGTAAATAAAACTAGCAAAATTAATTTTACCTCACTTTAAACAGTACATTTAGAAGTATCCATATGAAAATTTAAAAACAGAAATTGAAGCCGGTTTAGAGAAAATGGCATTTGAATGTTTCTCAAAATGCAGAAATTTGAGCTCGTTTTCACCGAAAAATTTTGAGTTTTTGAGAAACTTTATCAGACACCATTTAAAGAACATGTATTTGTAAATGCAACAAATTGTCACTAATGTAAAGATTAAAGACACGAGAGGCAAGTCAAAAAAACTAAGTTATTATAATTTTTGGGTTAAAAAAACAAACAAAAGAATAGAGAAAATGGTGTTTATGTCATCTCGTAGAGAGAAAATGTTTGAAGCCATTTTTGAGAAAATCTTGTTTTTGTTATTTTTTATAACTGCTCATATTGCACACAATATTACGTGAAAACTACCAAAGTTTTTAAAAAATGTATATAACCTTAATGAAAGATCTCTATCTTCAATTTTGTAGTTGTAGGAAGAGGCCAAAAAATATTCAAACGTTTGCAATTATCGAAAATTCAGAGTTAACCATGAAAATGGGACCTACAACACCTTTATAAGTGTATTTTACTCTATTCTTACAAGAAGTTTAAAGAAAAAAATTGGAGCCATTTTTGAGAAAATTTTGGAAATGTCTGTGGTCTTCAGGTAAAGTACCCCCAAATTTCACAATTGCAGCGCTTCCAGTTGAGGAAGATTGATCAAGGAATATCCATTTTGGAAAAAACCAATGCATGGTTTCGGTGCTACAGATGTTCACAGATGAACAAACAGGATGAACCTTTAGAAGAAGAAGAAGAAGAAGAGGGAAAAAAGACAAAAAACACTTTTCGGTGAGTGGACCATCACTGAAAATTCGCTGGAAAAGTTTGGAGATAATTCAAAGAAAAAATTTGGAGCTATTTTTGAGAAAATGACGTTTGTGACTTGTTAAAATGCGGGATTTTGAGCTCATTTTCATTGAAAACTGCTGAGTTTTTGAGAGAGTGAGTAACATTATTTACAGCAAATATGCTCATAAATACAATAATGTGAAAAATTGGTGCCAATGTAAATATTAATGATGTGAGAGGCCAGTAAATAAATCTCTCAAAATCTTGAAATCGATTTTCTGCAGAATCTCACAACTTTCTCTATACAACATACATTATTCTGTAAGTTATATGAACATGTACAAGAAAGTAAAAATCAAATAACGTGTATAATGCATCTATTCTGAATCATAATTACAAAGGAAAAACTTAATAATTTTAAAATTTAAAAAAATAATAATAATAAAAATAAGTTATCTTACCACATCCAGCTTCATCAGAAGCATCAGGGCAATCTATGTGATCATCACACCGCTGCACATTTGATATGCAAAATCCATCTGAACACTGGAATTGTTGACTACTGCATGTTGGAGGTCCTGTAAATCATTATTTAGGATTTGGGGTCAACTTTGAGAAATAAAGCTGCAAGACAGAATTATGAAATAATTAACTAATGGAGAATAGAATCAATCATCAATTATGAATTTTTTACATTCTGCCTGTAGTCAAGGGAGATGGGGAGGGGAATCGGGCATTTGAGAAAATGGGCACATATTAAGGACATACTTGTGGTGTATTTTAATGAAGAAGTCACTTTATCACTGCTGTATTACAGCAAAATCTAATCTAATGGAAATTTGTTAAATTTGTTTAATACAATGATTTGAAATTTTTGTGCATCCACAGTAATGCATGTAACTGTATAAGACATATACTGAAACTCTTTTACTGATGGCAAACAAGTGTTATAGAATTACAGACTACTAGCTAGTATAGTAACTATATTGGAAATAAAACAGAACATCCCAATCTTGTTATGTATCATCGGTCAGCAATATACAAAACATGTCTAAATTTAGACATCCCCCCATCACTTGGTAATTTTCATAAAATTTTAATTATATTCTAAATTTGAAGAGACAACACCTAGCCTAGGGCACTCCCACACATGGTGTAATTTTGTCTTTACCTGATTATGAATGGTCAAATGTTCCAAGCTTTCACTGGAAAGAAACATACAAAACCCATATCCAAACATTATCCTTCTTTGTGTTTGCACAGTCAGGAAAAAAGTTTAAATGACAGGAAATGTTAATTTTGAAAGTATAAAAGAATGGACAATTTCACACAGTGGGGAATTGAAGGGACCAGGAAATACAGGTGTAAATGAAGGAAAACATAAAAGTTCAGGAACATTCAAGCAGGATGTTACTGTATAGTCATTTCTGTATGGATTCAACATTTTTCATATGCAATTCATTAGAACAGAAAAAAAAGTAAGTTAACTATTTTCCTTTTTTACTACTGTTCACAAAAATTTGTTAACATCCTATATTTTATGACTTCTGCTTAGAATACCAATCATCAAGATCATAATTATAAATTTCTTGCATTATAATATAGTTCTTCATACAAATTGGTACTTTAGTGTTGAAACCATTATCATCTTAACAAATAGTTTTCGGTTTACCATACAACCACTTTTGACTAAAGTAACCATTAATGTCACTTGAGCCCTTAACTAATAGATTTGCCAAGATTAAAACTAAGGGTCTGATAATTGAAGGGGTTTAGGAATTTTGAAGATTTTCTTTTAAATAGAAGAAGTGGAAATAATTTTGTAACATTTGAAAGTTTTTAAAGAGAATTTTTAGAAATATAAAGAGTTCTTAATTAATTTAAAAATTATATTAATTAATATGTCAAAATGTTATAAAAAGAGGCTGGATTTATGGAAAAAAAAGTCGGCGTCACATTTTTCTTGGGGTCTTTATTAACATCAAGATGGCTCTGTCATCAATGTTAAACCACTCCCTTTACAAACCCCATTTGATGCTGCAGTTAAAGTTCAGTGGGAAATTGCACCAAATATTGAATGAAATTAAAATAAATGTTGTACAAACATTGAAAGTTTAATTCATAGTGTCTAGTAAATTAGACTTTTTTTCAGCAACTTACATTGTAACAAAAAGCTAAATGGACAGACACAAAAGCACAAACTTCACACAAAAAGCAAGCAGGCAGGACAGGATGGGATACATTTACCTGATGGGCAGTTGGCCTCATCACTTCTATCAAGGCATTCTGGAAACCCATTGCAGCGCATGCGCGCAGGCAAACAGGTTCTGTCTGCACACTGGAACTCGTTCTCAGCACACCCCACTGCAAGCCATACACCCATGCAAGCTCCACACCCACATATATGGTGAAACCTTGATTACAAAGCTGACTTTCATATGTACAGAAGAATTACAACTAAGAGATCCTTTTGCATTGTGTTCCCAGGACAGACATGTTTTTTCCTTTCCTTTCTGTGTCTCAGCTTTCTGATAAAACTCGTTGTACTGTAAATTCCCAATTTTTATTATCACTTAAAGCTGTATAAAATTCAAAGAACTACTCTCGAATTCTGACTGTCACTGATTTGTGAGCATTGCATCAATACATCAATTTATAATTATTGAGAGATAATGTCTGTGTTTGCTGCGTAAAAAGTGTTATCTAAAATAATAGTTTAAAAAAACAGGTTTGAAGATTTGCTGCAATATTTTTTTTCTTATTCTGGATCAACAAAACGACAACATGGATTATCTATTTAATTTTCCAACAAAACCAAAGAGATGTGAGTTTTATTTTATGTAAAAACATCGTGACATTCTGAATTTTAAATGGAGGGAAAAGAAGAAAATGATGTAGAGGGGAAAAAAAGACTTAACATCCTTTGCACACATATTAGAAGAAATAATTACAAAACATATTTATTACCACTGTTTAATTATTTTATTCAATTTTGTTACTTCTACAACTATAAAGTCATTTAACAAAATTTAAATTATTTGGAATAAATGCATGTAAAGTTGAGCAGTGTAAGAAAACATGAAATATCACAGTTATTCTTTTACAGTCAGTTTTCTTTTCTTTTTTCTCCTTTTAAATTCCCTCCCTCCTGCCTTGTTCATTTTTGGTCTGTTAATTTACATTCTGTATCCTTTTCTTTATTTGTTCTGTATTTTCTCACTCCAGTGTGTTGTCGCCACATCATCAAGGTATTAATCTTTTCACAAGATATTTGCAAATTCTGATACAATTTATAAAAAAGAAACCTGCATAAATGTACCAAAAAGATCCAGTAAATCTAATTTTTTTCTTAACAGAAATCATATTAGGTTTTGTGAAGCACAAATTCATTGGCAAAAAACATTTTCCTTTTCTCTTTTTTAAGACTGACACTGGAAATGCTGGTACAAGAATCAAGTGAAAATTTGAAAAACAAGTATCCAGTGACACTTTTTTGTAGTGAAATCATATACATACAGTATACATCAGCCCAGTTGAATGCTTTTCCAGTCAAATCTTATTTGAATTGGGCAAATTCATATCTCAGCAATGCAGCAAAGTCCAAGGAATCTTCTTAACCCATTTCTCTTACATAAAATGGATGTTTCTTTCCAGTTTGCCTCACAAGTTGTGCCACTGTCAGGCAGATGGTGAATATTCTATTCAAATCTTTTTATAAGGTTAATTTCTTTATGGAGACAAATCCCTCTTCACAGGATGGCCACTTATTTCCAGAAACAAATTTCCCTGACTTTTTCCGGTTTTCCAGGGCATTATCAAAAGTTTTCACAGATAAAATTTGTAGAGTATTTCATACTATTTAAAGAAAATATTAAAGCAACCCTTAAAATCATTTTTCATCTCTCTGATTCCCCTGCGGTGTAATTCAAATTTCAAAAAACCTCAACAAATAAATATTGATAAAAAAGTAATTGTATACTTTTATTTTTTTATTTTCTCACCCTTATAAATGTAAGAACAGAATATATTGTAATTGTGCGTCGGAAAATGGTGAATTTTCATAAGAAAAACAATTACTGCCCTGATAAATAGTAAATTACTTCCTCTAACATGTAGGTAGCCAGAATTCATGTTCTGTAGGTCCTTTATACTGACAAATTGATAAACGGGAAAACATTTGTGTGTTTGACTGTCCGTCAGTCTGTAATGAATGCGAGCACCTACACGGTTCAGCTGATTTTCTCCAAAATTGATATTCTCTGATCGATCTGAACAAACTCAAGGCTTTGGGGGTTTTAAACAAATATAATGATTTCTGAGGGTAATTTACATGAAGCCTCAAAAACATTTTCAAAATGGCTCCAACCTTTTTAATTATCCTTTGATCGGATGGTGTGGTGGACACTTAAGAGAATGGAGAAGGTCTCATGTTCGTGGAAATCCCTGATTTTTTCGAAAATTGCAAAAGTGCAATTTTTTAATGTATCTTCCCACCACTACAATACTGAAAATACAGATTTTTTTTTCTTAATGAAATCTGTTCTTTAAAGACAGTTTTTGAAATAAAGTCATAAACAATTTTACGAAAATATGAATGGTTATAATGTCATTTTGGCAAAACATAAGCAATTTTTAATTTTTTTAAAACAATTTTTTACTCAAAAGAAAAACGCCACTTTTTTCTTTAAACTTTCTCCTTACATGTATCAATGGCTGATAAAAGTAAGGTGCTAGACTCGCCGTATTTTCGCATATAGCAAAAAGTTAATATTTCAAAAAACTAAAAAATTCAAGATAGCGATTTTTGCCTCAAAATCTGTTGTAAAAATTCAGCTCTTTAAAAAAGGGCATGTACAGTTTTTTAAAATGAGTAGATTTCGCATAATGTGTGTGCCTGAAATTTAGGCAAATTTAAACAAATTATTTTCTCGAAAACTACATAATTTTTTTCTAATTAAATTATCTCCTCTTATTTAACAATGAATGATAAAAATGAAGGTGCTACTCCCACTTTTGGCAAACTCTCTATACTTTTAAAAATTGCAAAAATTGAGAGTTAGAAAAAAATTTGGATTGAGACATTTACATTTTAAAGGAACGGCTCAAGTTCAATCCTTAATTTTTGTAGCGTAGAGGTATGGCTGATGGTGAGTAAACTCAGAACACGAGAGTTCAAGTCTTGGTGCAGAAAATAATTTTTGCAAGTTGTAAACACTTTACATGTTTATGTAGTAGCATAAAATAGGGGAGCACTCAGAAATAATGAAGAAAGTATGTGCTGTTGTAGCAACTCCTATTAGGACTAATATCTAGTTTCATAACCACCTCAAAATTTTGCCTGACTTCTAATGATTCTTCCACAAATTCCCTAATTTTTCCCCTGACTTTTCCAGAGTAATGAAATTCTCTGATTTTTTTCTATTTTCCAGAAAGTGGCCACCCTGCTTTACTCTGCAATATGCATGTTTTTTCTCATCCCAAGATTCACAAACAAATAATTTAGTTGGTAAGAAATTTGACTTAGCTCTCTATATCAATATGTAGAACTTTCTGACATGCAACTATTTCAGAAAAACATTTTGCCATTTGTGGCTATAACACACTTTACGCAGCCAACACAGATTTAATACTATTATGATTCTTACAAAATCAATCTGGTACCAGTACTTAGTTTCAGTCAGTGGAAATATCAATATCACCACAAGTGTCATAAAATGGACAATAAAACAGAAACCTCCCTAAAGCAGAATTTGTTTGCCCTGATCGATTCCAGCATGGATAGATTTTACTGCATAACACCTGTGCCTATTGCGCAGTAAAAGAAAACTCCTACATATTCCAGAAACGTGATGTGAAACTTGCACTTGAAACTATGGCAAGAAACATCTACATCAGAGTAAATTTGTCGCTTGGAACCATTCCAATGAATGCATCCTGAATGTGTTAATCACTGGGGGAGTAAATCTTTCTCAAGCAGAAGAGTTTTTAGTATTCTGCCCCCTGCAGTTGAATTATTCTTCAACTTGTTTTAACATTGCACATTTTGAGTTTTTTGTCACATACCTTTTTAAAGATCTTAACTATAGAATAATGATGCCATTAATATTTGTCACTCCATACCTCTGATAGTAGACACCCTACAGTAGTATATGAATGAATGTGTGTATTTGTGGATGTGTATGATAAAGAGTGAGAGAACAACGCAAATTGTTTGTTCAGACTCTAAATCAATTGTTTTATGAAACTGACAACTAAATGGACCAGAAGCAGTATCCTGATGTTTCTACCCTGTCACTCAATAAGTCTAAGAAGGTTGAGGTAATACCTATGAGACAAAAAATGTAGGAGCCCAATTAGCTTCACAATTCAAAAGCATGAAGAAGACAAGGAAAGTAGGAGGCTACTTTGAAAGCAAAACAGCATGTAACACACTTCAACAGTCCAATTGAAAAATTCAACTGGATAAAGAACATTATATTGTCTCCTAGGTCAGGAACACACATGTCAAACAGTAAGTAAAATCACAAATCACATGCGTAATTACAAAAGGCAGTATGATATATTTTACAGTGAGAAGGTAAGTTATTTGGGATGTGATAAACCAGTCACATAAGAGTGAAAAATGTATTACTTGTGTTTCAAATTTAAATCTTTAAAGAAAAAGTGACTGTATGAAATATTCAGAAATTAAAATATTGAAAATCTGTTTGGAATAATTCCATTAATTCTAAAATCCTGAAATTAGGTCAGAAAACCTTTTTCAGTTTACAGAAATCAGTTTACACAAACTTGGATTTAAATGATCAAAAATGTCTTGCATAAATTGTATGGTTTTCTATGATTCACAGGCTGTAAATTGTCATTTATGAACAGAACAAACATTGAAAGCAAGAGCAAAACAACATATTGCTGCCCCTCATGTTGATTCATGAATTGTCCCAATAAATAATATGAAGTTTTGATGTTCAAGCCAAAATTAGCCCTCATATAGTGATATGAACATAAAGACAACTAGAAAATCAATTTAAATGTCTAATAAGTTAAATAATTTTACAGTTCACTTTTCAAATATAGAAACTGCTTCTTTACTTAATCTGACAATGAAAATGTATATTGAAATGCACAACTTTAAAAACGTTTTTGACAGTAATTTTTAAAATTAATCCTCTTGTCTCAAGTTTTTCCAGAACTCCTGAGCCAAATCAAGCAAACAAAAACCATAAAAGCAATGTGAAACATAAAATCCTCATGCATATATGACAAAAGTGTTTTCTCACCACAATTGAGTTCATCGTCTGAACAGTCTCTATAATTATCACAGCGTCGTGATTCAGGAATGCAGGAACTATCATTGCAACGAAACTGTCCAGGAAGGCATTGACCTTCTGAAATCATACAAAGTAGTTAAAACATCAAAAGGATAGATCATAAAGCAATAATAAATTGATACGTTTGGACCCTTTGAAGTAAATAATATAGGGAGCAATTCAAGTAAATAAGGGCATTAATAGAGTTTCGTACACCTAAAAATTTAAGAATAGAGATAATATATGAACAAAAATTCAAGTTTGACCCAATAAACATAAACACAATGATAAAACACACAATAAGTAATAGAACAAAAGTATACTATGAAAGGACAGAAATTGCATTTTCTGTATTTCATACTGATTACTTACCACAACCTTGTTCATCTGACATATCAGCACAATCAAATACTCTATTGCAGCGAAATGATGAACTTAGGCAGCGACCTCTGTCACACTCAAATTCCAAGGGTGAACAGGTACTAGGTGCTGGAGGATTGGTACCTATGCACAAGCCAAATGGTTGCTACTACCATGCAATTCATTTCACAACCTCAAGTAATATGAAGGCTATATGGATTTCTAGAACTCCACTCTCTTAAGAGCACAATATTTGTAGTACATGCTCACAGAAAATCATAAAAGCAAGGATTTCTAATATTCATTGCTACAAATCAAATACAAAAATTTTCAACTGTGTTTTTGCTTTCCTTCCTCTTTACATGTTTTTCTAATATGTGAAATTAAGTGCTATTCAGAGGCAAACATCAGAGACACAGACATGCAAACTCAACGTTAAGAGTCACAAACACTGAACGTTCAGTATCACAAAATGAAACATGCTTTACATTTAATCTCAAGTTCTATTGTTGATTTAACAAACATTTCAGGAGTAAAAAAAGAAAATTAGAGAACATTTTTATTATATAGAAATATTAAATAAATAATTCTTATTGCAACCACTTCAATGAATGACATTTGAGCATTTCTTGTTTTCATAAGAAATTAAAAATTATTTACTTTTCACAGCAAAATAGAGAAAGGACATATTCGCTTCTCACAAGTACTTCACCAAACGTATATTTTTAACATTCAATGACAATATTGCAAATGACGAATGTTAAATTGTCAAGTGAATGTACTGATTCATCAATATCAGACACTCACTTGGACAGTTGAGTTCATCCGAGTCATCAGTGCAGTCATAAGAACCATCACAGCGATATTGGTTGGTAATACATTCTCCGTTGGCACATGTGAACTCATCTTGACGACAGCCTTCATCTGCACATTCACACAACAATGCATGCAAGCATATCATGCACAAAGGTGTAATTCTATTTTTCAGTTGGTTACTTCTTTGAAGTATTTTTGAACACAATCGAACAATTAGTTAATCCAAAAGCACTATTTAAAAAAAATTTGATGTGCTGAACACAAACTAATTTTCTTACTGAAGCAAAGTTCTCTAAGTACACTGTCTTGAGATTAAAATGTGGGAATACAAAAATTCCTATTCTGATAAAAGAAGGTGGTTAGTGTTAAAATTACAATATTTATTAATATATCCTAAAAGATGAACTTGGTGTAGATTCCATTGCAAGAATCTTTATTTTATTTTTGAATATGATTTAAATATAATGAAGTTGGCGGTAAATTTCTCTAATTCCATTCTATTGTTTGTAAGCAAGACTTTTCACTTTTCGACGAACGTTTTCACGAACATTTGTATCCCAGTCTTCTGGCCAAATATAAGCTACCTTACCTATAAGCTATCTATATTGTCATAATGAAACTATAAATGTTCATTAAAAGAAAATTTAAGTCAGTTAAATCATTTTCAAACAACTAGAAAAAATTCTAATATTCAAAATAACAAATAAAAAAACATTATTAATACTGTAACACATTATTATTCATGCACCAAAAACATGAAATAATGGGCTTTAAAATAAATATACGTACCAGGACAATTTTTTTCATCAGAACCGTCCTCACAGTCCTGATGATAATTGCATCGCAGATGGTCTGGGATGCACATCCTATTTGTGCAAGTGAATTCGTTTGCAGCACAATCTTCAAAGGGACATGGCAAACATAATAAAAATAACTCAAATACAAGATAAAACAAAACATAATTAAACTAAAAAATATTCAACTAAAAACAACTCAAATGCAACAATATTCAAAAATATTTTTACACAAATATATTGAAATTGTATCATCCTGTTTTATTGCCAGCCCACTTTAGTATTGCAATTGTCATCTCACATCACCAAGAGAATGAGATTTGAGTGTCCTAGCCACTGCAACGTCATGAACTTTAAAACCATACAAATGTATAAAGGTTTGTTGTTTTTTTTGTTTGTTTTCCTCCCTCATTTTCCTTCTTTATAATAGTTTACATTTTTGTTCAAATGATCCAGACCATTCACACAAAAACTTCCTCCCCTGCCCCCGACAGTAATATTTACAGTTCTCATTAACATTTAATTCCAGGAAAATGTATTTTATGGGAAAGGAGAATATGCAATCTTAAAGAACTTCATTTTGTGGGAATACATAACATTATTTTAAGATACTGAAATAACATTACTTGGTAATTAAGTCAGGTCACTTATAAACATTTAACTTTCTTTTTATAGATTGACATCAAGAAAAATTATAATAACACGTAATTACTAAGAAGAAAGAGCAAAAATGGATTTAGAAACATTTCGGATACTGTGCTGCAATTAAGAGTGTAGCTCCTTTAAGCTTACAATAAGTTAACACATAAGCACCCTTAGCATGGAATTTTGCAAACAAATTATGAAATCAATGGCTAACAAAATATCTAAGTCCCAAGTAATTCTACATACGTTTTTTAAACATTAATGAATATAAATGTTCACAGACAGAATCAGAGACTAACTTCTGAATTGGTAATAGATATCTTCAAAACAGTTAGACTGAGTTAAAAGTAAAGAGATGAAACCTCCCTATTTCACTGTTTGAACCAAATGATACTGAACATTCAGAAGAAAGATTGATAATAGGCCATTGCCAACAAAATCAAAGATAAAATTTTGTCATGACATTGAAACAAATTATTGTTATTTCTCTATGTTATATTTCTGCAACCTGAAAGTATAAGAATTCTTCTCTGAAACTCCCCACCAACAATTATCTTCAATTTCCAGGTTTCAAATAACTTTGCTGGAATCATCGAATACTTAGTCATTACGTAAAGTTTGGAGTATATCTTTGAATAACAGCAGTTCTAAACTAATAAAAATATTGGAATTTTGAGAACACAAAGATGAAATAGCCCTCTTGAAAACAGAAAGAGAAGTACAGAGGTTTCAGGGCTTTTCGACAGACTACAACAGGCATGCAAGGGAATAATACTGTCATTCTCATATAAATGTGAGTCATAGCTCTCTTCATTTTAGTAGAAAATTCTTTACATTACTTTACATTACTTTGATTTCTCTAATTTTAAAAGCATCCAACATAATGATAAAGTAAATGATATTAAAAATGTTTGAAATCAATTAAGATCTTGCAATTTCTATAAAAACAACAATGACACAAAGTTTTTGGATAATTAATGTCTCCTTATATCTTATTTTTAACTTTTTGAACTCATTATTCACTTTTCTATCACCTCACTCCTCACTAACTTTTTATTCTTTAAACACATTATTTAAAATGTGTCCACTGTAAAAAATTAGATATAATATACATTTACTTTATAACCGAAATTAATCAAATTTTTCCCACAACTCTTGCACTATATTAAAAACTGAGTGCAGGAATTACAGTAGATTAATTAATGTTTCCTGAAAAGAGCCTATCATATAATGACTCACATTCTACTCAGTAGGAAATTGAAGTGTGATTAACTCTGACTCTGCTGCAGACCATGCACAAAAATACATTTGGTTCTCCACATTTTATACACAACAAGGCAATGAAAACAATGAATGTTACCAACTGCTCAGATTCACAATATAAAAGTGCGACTTCTTGGTTTAACATATTCATTTTTATCACATGAGTTGCGAGAACACACAAAACAAATAAGAATTATTAATGAGACCCTCCCATCTTCAAGTTAATTCTTCAAGACCCCCCCTTCCCCTCCCCCCTCTCCCATTATAATATATCAACTATCAACATTCATTCTCCTTGCACAACTTCAAGTCTACAGTGATCAACATTCAGTTTTAAAAAAATAATCTTATCATAGGTTAACTGGGTGGCACAACTAATTAGCTCGTGCCTGTGGCAATGCATCTGTGCTATATTGGAAGTAGTCCTTGCACATATGCTACTTGACAATAGGGGATAATTGTGGCATTTGGTGCAGGGACATCAACCAGATTAACCAAACACAACTACCAGACATGCAAGAGAATAAAAGAGTGATAGGGTGTGCAGGCAAAAGAAAAAAAAGTGATAATCAGAAAGACCAAAGCAATATACGTAAAATATAGGTAGGTATCAAAAAAACAAGCCATGGAGTAAAGACATGGTGGTTGGGGAAGCTGCCTGAAACAAAGTTCAATAGGGTGAGTGTGCCTCTATTCACCATCAGCTGAAAGAGGTAACAATAATGTAACAATTATGAAGTGTTTTAATATTTTAAAATGTCAAAAAATTAAATAATAGTTTGCCAAGTTGGATATAAAAAGTTATGGTAATTTTAAGGATGTTAATAAATTATTCACAGGAAAAAATTCAAGAATATTATTTTGGAAATTTATACCAACACAGAATATCAAATGTTCCAATAACATAGTCCATTTGAAATGAAATTGAAATAGAAATATATGTAGTATATATTGTAGTAAATATTAATTATTTACTACAAAGCATTAGGTGAAAATGATGTCAAAAACAATTTGTCACTTGGATATTTTCTTGAGACATCTCATTTTTTAGTCTCCCTTTCTCCTTAATGTTTAATACAGTTTTTTAAATAGTTTTCTATGCATTTTTTTGTATGAAGTTTTGTTTCTTTACATTTAAGTTTTCTTTGCTTATGTAAATGATTATTTTCTTTCTGTTGATTGGAAGAAGAGCAAAGACAAACTTTCTTGAAAGGCAAATTCAGTAAGGTTTTTTCATTTGCCAATATGAATGAATACTTGATAAGCCCATCAATATATGTACTCATGTGCCATGAGGTAACCAAAATATTTTCTACAATATGTTAGCTGCTTTACTTGGAAAGAGTCACCCCAGACACAATGAGGACTGCCAGGACAAGCAAGAGACTTGGTTGTCTTCTTAAAATAGTTCAACCACCAGGTTTTGAAGTCTATGATGTCCTCAGTGTCTATTACTGTTATCATGAAACATCTAGATGTTTTCTACCTGGTAATACTAGTTCTTCTGAGTGAGGCTCAGAAACCAACCTCAGACTTCTTTCTCTTTTCTAGACATCACAATTTCTAGTTGGCATTAGCACACTTTAAGCTAAACAAGTTTCATTTTACACTGATCAATAGCTTGAAGAATAACAAAGAAAATGAAGATTTCAACACTTTTTACAAAAAAAGTGGACTTATTTCCCTTTTAATATCACTGATTCAATTATTGTATACTATCAAGTAGGTATGTCCTTAATTTATAAATAGAGTAAAATATTTGTGGATACTGTATTGTTTACAAAGTTGTTGTTGCTTGGAAATCTTTAATATATCAAATTTATTAAAATCAATCTACTTCACATGCTTAACTAAACTGCTTATAAAGGTAATTGGATCAGGTAAAATAACTTAGGAATATGCTAGTGAACAAATTAAATTTGCAAATAATATTTGTTGTCTTGTTCACCTCATTCCAGTCCCATGACGACTACTTTATATTCATTTAAGTTCATAACACAGTGAAACAACAGTTTTAATTTAAAGTATAGTCATGTTAAAACATAGTATAAATGGAGTATAATTATATAAAATTGAAAATTTACTAGTTCCATGAATATGACAAAATGCAAATACAAGACTATGTTAAAAAAATAAACAAATTGAAGAATTTGTGTTTAAAATTATTATTTTTAATAGCGTGTTTCCATCTTTTGAAACATACATTTAGGCAAATTTTATTATAAGAATTCTCACTATAACTTATTTTGATTTACAAAAAAAGTGTGAAATGGAGATATGTTATCAGAAACATTTGATATTTCATAGTTAAGGAAAATGAAAATCTACAGAGATATTGCTTCACTTCATCATCATCATCATCATCATCATCATTAATAGTGCACTTGGTTTAGGAACTGGTTTTCTGTCCTTGTAGTGGGTAGAAAAGCAGTATTCCTTACTTGCCTTGCAATCTATCTCCACTTAAATTGTTAATTTTAATATTTTGCTAACTTTTTGATAGTTCAGTGATATATTTTTTAACTTTCTCATTTTTAGCAATGTAGGCAAGGTGGCCACTAATTTCCTGAAACAAATTCCTCTGACTTTTCACGGTTTTCCAGAGCATTAAAATTTTTTTTGTACTGATTAGATTTGTATTTCACATTATTTGAAGAAAATATTAAAATTAATCATCTCTCCAATTTTTCCATGTTAAAGAAAAAAATGGAGTAAAACATAATGCTAGATATTTTAAGGAATAATATCTAGTATTATAACCTTAAAATTATTCCCGACTTCCAATAGTTCTTCCACAAATTCCATGACTTTTTGTTTTTCCATGTTTTCCAGAAACTGATCACTCCATTAGAACAAACATCATTATCACTGTACTGCAACAATGCAATCTTCTATTCCCTTTATATCTCTTTTCAAATCCATAATACAATACGCAGAAACTAAAGCAATATTTAGTTTACGAGTTTAATATTTCGTGTGTCTTAGAATTAGAAGAAAATGAATTGTGTGTAATTGTTTAGTGTTCATGTAATTGTTCAGTGGAAACATAATAACTGCAGCCAAAGAATATCACAAAGGTTGGATTTTATCAATAATTTTCATTGGTTGTAAAATAATGAGAAAATAATGGCTATATAGATATTTGATTAAAAAAAAGTAAATAAAATGTGCTGAGGGTAACCAAATTCAAATATTATGTGAGAGATAAATGTTTGTAATATGATGGATGGATTGTTCATATATCCATATAAAAATTAATAATTAACAATATTTTTAATTTTTAATGTAGGTACAACTAAAGCACATAAAGAAATTAAGTCCATAAAGACAAATGTGTTTTTATAAGAGAGGAAAAGTCTAGGACATCTTCAATATGTACTAGCAGTTTGAGACATGTCCCAGTCAATAATAAACAGCTTCAAAATATTTAAAGTAAAATGAAATTTTCTATGAAATTTTTTTACTATCATTTTAGCATAAGACTATTAAAGTAAGATATTGGAAAAATATTTATTTGAAGTTATTGCAAAATTTCTGTTGTGAAATTTGAAAAGAAAGGAAGTATGAATTATACATGACATAAAATGAAAAGGAAAGAAAAAAAAATTATTTTTTTCCTATTTTAAATTTGGGTTTTGGAATTGAATGTAACATAATACATTGCCTGTAAATAGATGAAGTTGGAGAGTGAGTTTCTTAAACACACAAATTTGACCATCAAATGAAATTGAACCACAAAGGAGAAAAACATGCAAACAAGGCGAGGTTTCATAGCAAAAACTCATTATAAGAAACCCCTTTATAAGAGCCCATGTTCAATTGCCCTGTGTCTCTTATAGAGGTTTTTTGCAACATGTAATTAAATATCATTGTTTTCTACCTCTATTATATGCATGCTCATTCTCTACTTCATGCTCTTAACTTGATTACAGTTTTCCGTACCATATAGATATTCAATTGAACTTCATAACATAAATGTAAAAGAAAAAAACAATTATTCATCACAACAACTATTGATTACAATGTAATATCCGAAAAATATTATTTAATTTTTGCATAAGGTCCAATTTACAGTTTACTATTTCTATCTTCACTAATTAACAAAATACAATAAAAAAATCCCTTTAATAGCTTTTTTAAAAATGGAAATTAAGTAAAAAAATATGGAAAGAACACAAGAAATACATTATAAAAAGTGAATATGGGCAATATGCATGCAGACTTTTGTGTCATCAAATTCGCTTATGAGCATATACGCATAAAGAAATTATTTCTAACATTTTTACAAACGGATACAAAATATTTGTATTAATCAATGAATAAAAGATGTCCATTGAAAATTGTTGTTATTCATCCTTCTGTTACTCCAAACTAATTTACTTTCAATGGCTAGCTAGGTGTGACCAGCCAGTGCAAGAGAAAATTGTTTTAGTTTTTTAATATGGTGATCGTATTCAAGATGTTAACTTTTTAAGAACCTAATTCTCTGCTATTTGTAAATTGTATTCTTCTATAACCTTGATGCAATAATAGATACACCAACCAAACAATTCAAGAATACCCAAATAAACAAAATCCTCTTAAACAAAACAAAACACATGTACACATTCACTCCTTATGGTACACGGCTTAGCCATCATAATTCCCAGATTCTCAGCCTAAAAACAAACACCACCTCACTAAAATCAAACTCAATAACGTAGTCTAAGAAACACAACCTAAAGAAACAAACTCATTTCACTTTTAACTGAGGAACCATGGTCAGAGATAGATTAAATTTTTGACACCAACTCAATGTTTACCAGTTCCTTCTGTACAATAGAACACTATTTGAAAACTTCATATGCCAAAAAATAAACAACACACAGAACAATAAAGCGTGAATAACAAATGGTAAAAAAGTTTCCAATTAGAGAAAAGACAACTTCACATCCTCACAAAACAATATACTTGATCTAATCTAACCTAATAGTAAACTATTATAAAACATATACAACCATACTAAAAAAAGTAATAATAAAAGCCAAAGAAATCTCTAACAATGATTACATAGAAACTAAATACACACAATACAAAATCTATAAGAACCATTCACGACCTTATCACCAACTGACAAAACAACAGAAAACATTGAACTAGTTGAAGAACACAGAAGATCCACAAATTTTAAAGAAGTTGCCACAATATTCAATAAAAAATTCTTTAAAATATCTGTCAGACTCCAAGATTGAAATAATCCATAATCTACACTCTAACAATCTCTCTTAAAATATCCCTTCAATCCCCTCAAGTACGTACATCACTGAAACCATAGAAAAAGAGCTTCCTTCTTACTTCAAATTAAAACCAAAACAACCAAATGCAGGGATTGACAACATTAAAAAATTTATAATAAAAAGGATTCATAATCAAACCACTTGCATACCTATAAAATCATTAATGCGCACATGGCTCATTTCCATTCATATTTAAAACTGCAGTGATTATATGCACAAAAAACTTAATAAACAAGAAGTCATAATCCGCACAGTAATTGATATCAAAATTTTCAAGAATAGAAAATCTGTACTAAGAAAAATTGAAAAGTTACACGATGCACTGTAATTTTATCACTGACTCACAACATGAGTTCCAGGAAATTCAATTGACAGAAACTACTTTATTTATCTTGGTAAATGAAATCTTCATGATTAGAGCAAAAAGAATATCTGTTGGTATCTTTCTTAATCTGTCATATGACTTTGATACAAAAAAAAAATCAGTAGTGAAAATTAGAATCTTATGGAATTCAAGAATTGCTCACAACTGAAACAGATGAAATCTATATGACAAAAGCAAATAGTTGTGCTACTTAATGAAAATGACAACAAAATAAAAATCACTACTATGAACTACTGTGCAAGAGATTCTCTTACAACATGCTACAAACCAAAAGGTATAACTTACAGAATTCTGCACAGATCAACACTAAAGCCAATTCTATTTCTTACATTTGTAAATGACCTTCCATCGATAATGGAAAACAATAAAACAGCAGAATTCACTGATGACACAAACATAATACTCAAAGGGAAAGAAAACAAAAACAAACATGACAAGACACAGCCAACTCAGCCATTGGCAAACTAATTTAATAGATCCACTAAACAAATTTATTATAAAACCCAGACAAAATAACCACAATATTCTTCCACATTTTTCATTCAACACAATCATACTCACCTAATTTTACCCAAGAAGGCAACAGCATTACACAAACACAGAAAACTTTATGAGATGACCGTACAAACCAAACTCAAGTGGAACTCACACTTTAAAGCTGGGGAAGCAAATGGTATTACCAAAAAGTGTATTATCTGTTGACCATGTCAATGAAGAAACAAATTTGCTTAGAAGTGGCTCTCAGTTTACAATTTGAAATGTTGCATTGCATTCCAGGCTACTACTCCACCTTTCTCCTCCATGCTTAAAACATAATGGCTGTGATAATAAAAAGTGTGGGCTGTGGTAATAAAAAGAGATTTCAGAACAATTGGGGTATCTATTTCAAAAAACTCAATTAGTGGTGAAACAGTTTTGTCAAAATAAAACTGCCAAGACAAAAACCGGCTAGAATTTGATTATTTTTCATCTGAAAGATAAGAAAATTAGCATATGTAGCAAGCAATATATATGCCACAAATAAATAGAAACAATCTGCAAGTGCAAAATTTTAATTTCAAAATGTCCAGAGAGGACAAAAAAGTATACAATTTCAGCAAAGATGTATATTCACCCCCCCCCCTTCTCAAACAATGATTTTCCCCTCTCAGCTGCAACTGAAGCATATATTACACTGCATTTGCATTTTAAAATATAATAAAATTTTGTAGAGGTAATATTCTATACCAAAAAATTCTGATAACATACATTAAATTCTAAGAGTGATTGCAGTGGCACAACCAGGATCTTGCTCAAGTGTGTATGTGCATCTAAAGGAATTTTATCAAGAATAATTTGAAGAATAAGAAAAAAGGAAATATTACAAACTTCCTGATAAGAGCATAAATGTTATTCATCAATGAATCCGGGCACAGTGAAATGTTTCTCACTGAACAATATAACCTCAGACAAAGAGAAGAAAAGTTTGTGCATCCTGTGAAAAGTCAAGAATAATTTTTGATATCATGTATGCTGCAACTAAATTAAAATTAACAATTTAAGAGAAAATATTTCAAAGTAGACTTTACAATGTATAAGATAACAAGTTTCATAACACAAATTAAATACTTCAAACAGAGGAAGAAAATTGCAGGGAAATAACTTTGATATTAACTACTGCACTCAACATCATATACTGAATGGGGGGAAAATGTACACGTGAATACAGAAATGCAAGAAGAATATGATGAAAAGTACTTAAAAACAAAAACTATCTACAAGCATGTCAAACATACATCACCTGTTCTAACAATTATGTATAATAGAGTAACTACCAACTACTTTTAATAATGTGAGCATTGAAAATACCTACATTTCTTAAAGATATTTCTAAAACAGTTTTAAAAAGCAATACCTTCTCTTGTTTATTATAAAAATATACTACATATTGTCAGTTCATGCAAATAATGTAAATGAGAAAATTTCTCTACAATAATAACGAAACACAATCAATTCTGACTGGATTCATAGAAGCAAGCAATTATAATTTTGTTAGAAATTTTGAGCTCTTATACTTTCAGAGATTAATAAAATATCTGATTTAATATGTATATTGAGCAGAAGGACTGATGAACTTTGTGGAAAGAAATATAAATTAATAAAATAAATATTTGAAAAACCTTTGGGTTATTGTATTTTAAAGGGGAATTAAATAGAGATGAGAACCAATATATTAATTTTTGTGATTTGTGACATTGAAAGAAGAGCAGCAGTAGATGAAAAATATCTCAAAAAAAGGAAGAAGCAATATATGCACAAGTAATTTCTTCTAATAGTTAAGAGAATTTCAACTTAATATTTGTTCCTTATATTTTTCACTTCTTTTTTGTTTACATTGAACATAATTGGTAGTTATAAAAAATCATACATCTGGACATTCGAGAATAACTTATGAAAGTTTATAGGATGCTTACCCACTGTATTCAGAATCATCTAGCTAAGTCCAGGTGTGCAAAAGCTACAGATTTGAATCCTGCAGGCATGTGGTTTAACTATATAGTTGTGACATGATAACATATCACCACATAAAACCACAATATCAACACATATTATCTTGGCATTAAGCCTCTTGCCTCACCATCACTTGGCAACCAAATATGACACTCATCGTCATCATCACTCCTTAAGGAATTTATGTTAAAGAGGACATGCCAATCCTAGGAATAAATATACATAGAAAAGCAAAACTTTTCATGTTTTTATTTACTATGAACTTTTCTTCATGCTCCGACTGATTTACTGAATTATGAACGATATTGTATAAATATTTTCATCAACATATTTTATAGTCAGAAATTACAGAGGAAAAATTATAGTTACATTTACTTTTAATAAATTTAAAATATAAACTACTAATTAATTCAATTATGGTGAAAAAGTTTTAAAATTCACAACTTATGCTTCTCTATTTATCCAGACAGAATAAGAAGACAAACAAGCAAAAGAAGTAGAAACGGACAGAGAGATAGGCCTTTTAATACCCCACCATTTTTAATGCAGTTTTTTTGCAACTCTTGACAGCCCTCCTTTGGATCACACTTCTTAGATTCGGGAACGCAACGTTGATCCATACAGGTATAGTTTCCTGCTTCACAGGTTGCTGCCAGAAGACACTCATTTTCAGTCCATTTCAATCAACAAACACTCAATTTCAGTCAACGTTAAAATGAGCACCAAATTTTAACACATACATACTACAGATGGACTTACTAGTGGACTTCATGGAAACGATCAATAAATTAAGAAAAATATTTAAAGAACATTCTTGGGGGCCATGAGAAAGGGAACACAATGAAGATGAAAATCATAGGACTTATCTTCGGAAAACGTAACACTGAAAGAATCATAAAAGATGAATAGCTTTACAAGAACATTACAAATGCAAGCACTAACAATTTCTTCTAATAGTCCCAAGTATTTCAAAACAATTTTCATTTTTTAAAAATATTTCCACATCTTTTCTGTTTAACTGTTACAAAAATGTTAATAATCACATTTCAAATGATTATTTATAATCACATCTCAGGACTTAAGATAATATTAAATTAATTGTAAAAGTTCCATGCTAGGAGCACATACTACTCTTATGCATAAATATTGATACACTGTTTTTTTACTTATAAAATAGAGCAGTAATGTCAGGAAACAAATTTCTTGACTATTCTGTAACTTTGTGGTAAAAGCCATTTTGTTCTGGTGTCAGTAAAACAAATGTTTTTTTTCATTCTCAACATTCTACTTAATGATGTGAAATGAGCACTAGTACACTAGAAGCATAATACTACAAAATGTATTAAATATGTCATACTTTATCATGCAAAACATTTTCACACTCACTCTCTCATTTTGCTTAAAGGGACCTTTACTTATAAATCTAAGAGGCATTATATTCACTTCATTACCATAGACTAAATTAATTTGGAAAAAAAATTAATATTTAAAAACAGAAGATGGATTAATAAAGAAACATTTTATTTCCAGGTTAGTATTACCATTTCAAGAAGAAAATAGTTATTCCTAAAAAGATAATTTATTTCCCATTTCAACTGAACACTTATCTCTGAACTCAATATCTTTTATAATTTTTATTACTGCATGTTTTTGTAACTCGCAAATTGGGCCAATCATAGTTGAAAATATTGAAAATATTCTCCAAAAATGTGACTGCAATATCATGAAGAGAAAACTCAAATATTTGAGTATCACATGACCTAAAGTAAAGTTGACGCAATTAACATACCACAATTCTGCTCATCCTCCCCAGAAGGACAATCACTTCTGCCATCACACATTCTCGACAATGGAATGCAGGAAAGATCGTAGCATGAGAAGTCAGTGGAGGGGCATGGTGCCTCATCTGGGCTACCTGTGCCCAAGCAAAATATGATACATGACGAAACTAACACTGGTTGCAAATTTGATGTATGATGCAGTAATTCCATGCTGCATGCCAATTCGCAAGCTTGTTTATTTTGTTATCATATTTTCCACAAAATCTTTCACATCACATGTAGTCAACCAATTGTGGCATTTAATGAACATAAAAAGATTTAGCATATTTGATTTCGGTATGACAAATTGTGTGAGTACATGAAATCAATTTTATGCAAATAAATTGAAATAATTGTATATGGAAATAAAAGAAATTTCTTATCAACACAGACAGGCTAAAGTTCAAAAAAGAATAGATTGTTTGTTCATTAGGAAAATGGTGACGATCATGTAGAACTAACAAGGAAGTGAAAAATTGATTCTAATGCCACACATTCATCTATCAATGGGGATCTTGCTGACCTTCTAACATATGTGTTACCTTTCATAGAAATTACCTTTTGCATATTGATTATTTTGTATGATTTTTGTATTGAAGATCTCTGCAAGAAATTAACTTTATTTTAGACCTAAAGATATTTCACTTGGAAAGTACTGAAATAACTCAAGAATACCCTTTCTATTACAAATAACAAAGAAAATGCATCTGCAATTGTTAACAAAACTTTTAGTAACATTCAGATGTAATAATGAAACATAATTATTTTCCTATTTTCTAAAACCCTGATATTTCTTAAAAAATTGAAAAATTGGTTAACCCATGTTAATTTGTATAAATAGACGAATGTGAACATAGTTTTTAACATGCTCAGAGTTACAAACACATGCAGCTTGGCAATTCACTTTCCTGACATCAGCAATTTACAAAATAAATTCTTACATTCCTTTTTTATAAGACATGAAAAAGCAATAGATATTATACAGCAGCATTCCATGGCAAAATGAACAAATAAAATAAGGTATTAACAAGATATTGAATTTAATGCATGCCAATAAACCCACTCACTTGATAACATATCATTTTGTCATATTTTAAACCTAAAGAACATTGATGAAAGTTTCTACCTCAATTGGTCACACTAATCACAAAAACATATTTTGAGCATATTAAACCAAAATAATTTATACGGATTATTTTTAATTTAAAATTATTAACAAATAACAGTTTAAAAATTAGTAATTGATAATTATATTCATGATTATTTTTTTCTCAGATTTTCATTCTCTCCCTGAGAGCCAAGAATTTTGTTCCAGAGTCACTTTGGGCAGAGCAGTCTTTGTGGCAATAAGAAGTGACACATTTTACCCTTTCCTCCTTTTCCTTCAAGAAATTTCCTGACTTTAACCTTCACCTCTCAAGTCACAAAAAAAGGTTTCAAATTAATAAATTATGAAATTGATCTACAGTGAAAAAACACTTTTAAAAAAGACAAATTTTTAAAGTAGTTTTCAACATTATGTTAAAATAACACATGCTGTTGAAATTTTACACATTCAGCAATTCTACCATTCACACCCAATAATTGATGTTTAAACAAAGCAGAGATGCACATGCTAACTTCTGTACATCAAAGCCAAAATATTGCACTAAGTGTTTTAGGTAATTACTGACACAAGGACTTGGCTTTCGAGAATTAGTGCTAAGCTCATTTTCAATATGTATAGTCAGTCTGGACTCCACAAAAATAGGCCCATGAAAAACTTTATATATAGTAAGTGTTTAAATAAGAATTACCTTCAAAAGATTTAAAAAAGATAGAAATGAGGTTTATTCTACTTTATACAATTACAAAAAGAAATTATTTGAAATGCCAGCAATTAAAAACATAAACTTTCTTTTAGAAATACTTCGCAAATGTTTAAGTTAATGTTAAACCATTATCAATGGCATAACATTTAATGTATTGCACAGAGAATGTGACTGACTACAAGTTATACAGCACTACTCTCAACCATTTTGTTCTTCATTCACTGTTAGTATTTTGTATTATTCCAGCATTGGCACAAGTTTGGGAGTCATGCCATTAGTGCATTACATTTTCAATAAATTAATTTCTACTTTATAAAATACTGCAAATTCCATACATTCAACCACTCTACTTTTATTCATGTGTTAATAAATGTGCACAATTAGAAACTAAGTGCAATTCATATATAAAGTAGTACAAAATTCACATATTGTGCAAAGGTTTAGAGCCTTAAATTTACTTTTTCTTTTTCTTGTACCCAATCTGGAGCTGCAGAAAAAATGACTACATTTTGAGACACAAAATCAACTTGTGATTAAATAATGAAGAGATTGATACCACCTCGCATACACTTTTCTGAAATTCACTCATTTGGACAAAAATAAGCAAAGCATGAAGATGAAGTGGATAAGAAATTTCAAACTATTAACTATTAACAAACTATTATAAACAATTAACAACTGCTGCAGAAAAATAATGCAAATTTTTTAAGAGAAAAAAATATCTATTTTTGAAAAGTCTTTTTAATTCATCATTAAGAACAACATTGAAAGTTCCCTGCTTATCCAGATGTAAGTCATGAAGTAAACTTATTTAAAGAACTGATTCATTGACAAGAAGTTCACTCAAGAAGTAATCAAAGATGTTGAAGCATTAAGAAATTATAAATTCCCTCTCCAAGAAAAGAGACATTCTTTTCAATCTTAAATTGCATCCTGAGTACAAATGTCAAAATATAAAAAATGCTTTCCCCCCCAAGTGTAATCATTCTAATGTATATTTGGAAATTCTAGAAAAAAATGTTTCCAGAAATTTTGATTTAAAGAAGGAGCACATATTCCAAAGGCCATATATTCCAAAGCCTATTTTCCTCTCAAAATTCAATTTAAATATATTTTTTATACTTCCTAAATATAAAGAATCTCCTACTCTGGCTTGAGTCCCTTAGACAGCACATTATCTTTGATTAACCATTGAATATACATCCAATAAAAGGAACTTTTAATGTTATTCAAAGCAATGAATAGAGAAAATAAGCAATAATTTTTTGAAGGATATATTATTCAGTTTATAGACTGTAAGCTCATGGTATGAATTTGTTATGAATCAAAGAGAATTTGGTCAAATCCATGAATTATTGAACATTAAAAACAGGCTTTCAATATTTTGTTTGTAGATGACTAACTGGTGACCATGTAAAAGTTTAATAAACAAAATTCTTGATTAAGATAAATTATAAATTATTTTAATTATTTTTTAATAAGATCCAAATAAATTTTTCTCTGAAATTCATTTATACAATTCTCGAGCTCACTTATTCTTTTTAATATTTCTTTAAACGGAGAAGGAATAAGACACAATGTCTCTAGTTGAAATATAGAAATGAAATATGAATGATGCATCAGATTTTAATAAAATTTTGTAAACCATTAATGAAAAAACATAATACACAATGAGAAACCAGCCTAAGAACAATTTTACAAATATATTTGGCATCATAATTTTTACACAATTTACATGTCTCATTTTAAACATGTCAATATTTACAAAATAATTTAAATAATTGGAAAAGTGTGTCTGATATGACACACACATATGTGCCTGCAAACATGCAGAAATGTGTGTGCATGCACACACACACACACACACACACACATACACACACGCACACACAAATACTTGACTGCGACAGACATGACTTGACTACCCAGCGGCCCTTAGAGGGTGCTGGGTGCATTATAAAGTAGTTTACTCCTATAATAGTAGTTAACGGAGGATTACTACAAGGTAGGCTCAATGCTCTTAGGAGCTAAGAGACGCGATGCGTGTATAGACACAACAAATTAAAAATAAATAAATAAAATAAAATAAAATGAAAAAAAATCCATACACACATACATATGCAAGCACACATACACACACATACACACACATATGCACATATTTGCACTTGACCGGGTATGTGCAAAATTACACACACATGCATAGATATACTTAATGCACACAGTTACTGAATCATAAATCTCAACTCCAATTACTTTCTTTGAGGCACAATTCTTGAAAATAACAAATATTACACACAAGTTCTGGTTTCTCATTAGGGGTCACCTATAAATTACATAATGCTAAAGAGAGGGGAGGGGGTTTGAGGCAGTGTTTTGCTGCATTACATAGGGGTAGGGAATATTAGTTAATAGTTACATAACATTTAATTTATTTTTTTACATTTATCAATGTTTATTGATATCATTAATTTCTTTTTCTTATACTGAAACATTAAAATATTTACTAATTAATTTGTTTTAAAACATAGATAAATTAAAGTTATTAAATGTAAATTGTTACTACAAATGGAAATATCTTTTTATCAATTTTTTAATGAATCTGTAAGATCATGAACAAAATATTCAAAACTGATGAGTAGTATACTCTAGAATTCATTTAAATTGGCACAGTAGGCTCTCCACCGATGGGTCATCCCCAACAGTGTCTGCACAGCTTGTAATACAAAAGTTCCTTGCCTATGTGTCCTGACACTTATAACTTGCCCCCTATTTTTTTAGGTGTAGTCAGCATAGCCTACTAATTTTGGCTGTAAAACCACAAATTTTAATGTACAACACAAATAAAATGAATACAAATTGTTTTTACTGTGCTCTAATTTATTTTCACTTCTTGCATTTGCGGGGTGGGGGGTGGGGGTCAGAAGCAGTACGTAATTATTGGGAAGGGTGTGTGTGTGTGTGTGTGTGTGTCAAGGGAGCGTCATAGGGTAGGGAAGAAAGTGTGTAATCAAAATACTCCAAATTTGCATTATGTAATTTATGAATGTCCCTTTATTAAAAAGTACTAAGATCTATTATTTTAATTTAAGAATAAAAAACACATAGTTCATACCACAATCAAGTTCGTCACTGCCATCTGAACAATCTGGACTGCGGTCACATCTCTTCGTAAAGCTAATGCAAGTCCCATCTCTGCATTGGTATTGGTCTCTGTTACATATTCCTATTCAAAAAGAGAAAATACATATTATACATCTAACAAATAAATAAGTGATGTTTACTCATGAAAGAAAGGGCTTTCATTGTTCCATTTCACAAAATACAACAGTACTTATTTATAAGATGAACATTAATAAGCACCAACCTCTGGTGTTAACTTTGACACCTGAATTAATCCCAGCCAACACCAAAAGTTTAGTACCAATGGATGGTATTGAATAGATGCTGTGGATGCTTGGAGCTACTGATACCATAAGAAATAATCACATCATTCAGAATAGCATATGCTCTCTTAAATACTTTTCTGGAGAAATGCACGTCACTGATATAAAATAATCAACAAATCTGAATGTATGCATATGAGAATCAACAGTACTAAAATAAAATATTCTTTGATTTTTAGAGATGCATATCAGATTATTTTAAAATGACTTCTCCAAATAAATGCTTAACATTTTGAGTATTAAATTATTTGCACATTCATAGTTACAAAAATCACTGTCAATTTTTTTCTCTACATTGGTTACTATACACATTTATATTTTTGTATATTGACAGATGCATCAACTTAAGATAGCAACATGTTGTGTTGACCTACTGTGTTTCTAAACATTTTCTAAAATCAAAAAGGCAAATTCATTAATCCAGCTTTTGTAATTTGAATACGTTAATCTACTTAAAATCTTACTTGCATTTCAAAACTTACTTCAAGTGTATTTTACGCAATTCTTCTCAAAAAATTATGAAATTTTCAGTATGACAATGAAAACAGATTTTAAAAACAACTGGCATTATTTAACAGTTCACTTAATTATTTGATACAGTATGAGCCTAAATTATTAAGCATTTTAAAATAAAGTTAATAAAGATAAGAAGGTTTTTCAAAGTCATTTTTGCAAACATGCTTTTAAAATGAAGTTATTATGCAAGAAAAGTCAAGTGCAAGTGTTCACAACAATAAAAATGTTATGGCTAGTCGTTTGTCATTCAGTATAATTTCAGCTTACAGCATAGCCAAGAGAATGCGGAAAAGAGAAGGTTAATAAATAAGAATATACATATTCTGCCTCATATTGCTCAGTGAAAAAGGAAAATGGTAATATAAAAGCAGTATCATTCAAAATTTTAAGAAAGCAGTAGGCAAAAATGTTAGAGAAATAAATTACAGGTTCATTAATGTATCTTTACCACAGCCCAATTCATCATCGCCATCTGAACACTGTTCATCACCATCGCAGCGCTGATGTATGGGGAGGCAGCTTCCATCTCTACAGCGATACTCATCAAAGCGGCAACTTGCTGTTAGATGAAAAGATCAATGGATGTACTTGAAATGAAATGTGGAAAATATGTCCTTTTCTTTTTTTATAGGAAAGTCAGCTAAATCAATTCTGACAATGAACACTGACATAAAATAATTACCAACCTAAACAATAGTACGATCTCATAAGAGATGCATGTACTAAACATGTTGCACTTTATGACTAGTATTCATAAAGTATATATTACTTGTTAATATGACAAGACATTATGCCCAAAATGGATAATCAACACCACATTTATGTAAATCTAATTTGTCAGGAATTATTCATTTAAAGTTTTCTAAAGGTACAACTAAATTTTTAGAAGACTCACACTACACGGCATTAAAATATATTCCAATGTTGTATGAACAGTATCTTCATAGAATGTATTTACTCATGATGTTATCAACTATAGTTTCCATTCATCAAATATGAATGATTTTGTGTTTGTTATTTATACAGTAACTCTTCACATAACATCCATTGATCATTCCGGAAGTTGGAGGTCCTTATAATAATACATGCAAATGAATGATTATGTACATTGTAATTTTTCAATATGTCTTATCTCATTTTCTGATATGCAACACAATTTTCGGTATTCTCAATGCTCAAAAATATGTTGGCTTAATATGATAATTAAGTCTCTGACAATTTTATATCTTTGCATGAATTTTCAATGCAACTTAAAAAAAGCTCCCCAATTATTTACAAGCTCCAGCACATTGGTATTAATATATCCTAAAAATGATTTTTTAAAATAATTATTTCTTATATAAGGGGCAAGAAATTGTAATAAAAGACAGACAGAATAAGATATCATGCTGAGTGTCACACTCTTTTTCAATAAATTTTATCCTTTAAAATTTTTTTGTTCTGATTTTTAAAATTGAGGTAACAATCAGTGCTTTTACTTTACATATTTCAATCAATATTGAAGTAGGGGTTTCAAATTTGGTAACTTTTGTATCTTAACACATTTAATAAAACATCTTAAGCAACAACAAATTAAACAAATGAAAGAAAGTTAAGTTACATTATATAATATACAACAGTTTCTTTTTTGTTCTGATATTGGAAATCAAGTATAAGTCACACAAGGAAGTGGTTGTGACTTACTATTTATCATATATTCAATTTTTATGAGCAGTTTTTCATCCTTTCTTCAATTTCAGAGTACAAGTACAAGCTCTCAAGATATAAACCAAATATGTGCCTTGAACTTTCTTTACAGTACCACTGTATTCCGAAAATGTTTAATTTTTGTATGCTACCACAGTTTAGTATAACAGTTGCAAAGCTCTCTATGATTTATTTCATCCGGTGCAGATTGCTATACAATTTTAATCCAGTGGGTTGAATCTATTGAATATTATTTATTATTTGCTTTCGGCAGTTCAATCATTTTGGATGTTAACAAAGATTCTGTCAGCTAATACACACCATGTAAATCTTTATTTAAGCTATTTTATCATTTTTAATTTATTATCATATGAAAATAATAATTACTTTTTAAATATCACTGTAACTTTTAAGTGTAAGACCTTCATCTCAATAAGGTTTTACGTGAAGTTTTCCATGATTTATCGAGCAAATGTTGAGATGGTCCCTTGTTTTGCTTCTGAACAATAAATATAGATCTCCTCGCTCTTTGATAGTAATAAATTTGTGTTTTATGATAAACATGGAAATAGCATTTTATTATGTATACTCCACAAATTTTCAGATGTTATTCACATGCCAATGCTCTGTTTTAAAAGTGCTCTAAAGTTTTAAACAATAAAAATTATGAATCAGTCATCTTTGTTATCTCTTATAGCCCTAATGATAGATGCCTCTCGCAGGCCAGTGGGAGCGCTAGTGTCAAACGGATGCATTCTCCTCCCATTAAAGCTTTGCAACTCTTATACTAAACTGTGATACTACTAACACATTCGATTTGAAGGCATATCCTTAACAAAGGCTTACCTTCTTTTAAATACAGTGGGAGAAGAATTATTACCACATTAATAGGCATTCAAAAGAATAGAAAGAAAGTAAAGTACTTACTATTGCAATTGTATTCGTCTGATCCATCCCCACAATCCTGCTGACCATTACATCTGGCAGCTCCATTGATGCAAGATCCATCTCCACATCTGAACTGATCAGGCCGGCAGTCTCCTCCTTGGGAATGAATTCATTTATTTATGAACTTTTCACTTTTGCACAAATTTATTATTATTACTATTCAAATTAAACTTTCTCTTCCTTTCAATGCAAATGGGGTGATAACGAATTTAAAGATACACCATTCAAAATAATATTCAATAGTTTAATAAAAGCTGTTGTTGTTAAATTAATGTTTCTAACATGAAGAAAATTTAAGTCAATGTAAATTTATTTCAACAATTAAAATTGAAGTTTTTGAGTTTCAATAAAATTTTAGAATACAATGAACATAATTTTGCAAATTTTGAATCAACAATATATTCAGTGACAAATGTTCAGAACTCCAGGGTGTTTATCGACAGATACACACAAGGACAGGAGTTCGAGGAAGAGGGCAAGGATGAGGAGGAGAAGAGAAAGAAACTAGTGGTGCTTCAACAGCAGATAATTTCTTTCATTATTTCTAAATTTGCAATTTTCAAAAATTAAGAGTTCAATGAAAATTATACATGTGGCATTCTTTTAAGTGTCCTTTGCTTTATCTGCGTAAACAAATTAAAGAAAAAAATTGGAGCGGCAGAATTGGAGAAAATTGACAGAATATTTTGGGCATCAGTATTTACCACTGTCTGACAGATAGACATTTTGTTGTCATTCAATTTTAGGTATCAAGGACTCACAAAACATAAATTCTGACTGTACAATGTTTTAGAGGAAGGAATTTACTATATATAGGAATAAGATTTATCCACTTTTACATTACCAGAACCCGGCTATATGAATTTTCTGGCATTTTCCAATGCATGATTACAGTACTAAATGCCAAAGGGGAAGAGGAGGAAGGATAGGAAGGGAAAGAAGATGAAAAAGAGGAAGAGGAGATCTTTGGAGACATCCTTAATCCTGGATTTCTGTCTCATTTTCAAGTTTATCATGAATCTATAAAAAATTCCGTAGTCAATATATCACCTTTCATGAATCTATCAATTTCATCAAAACCATCCACACATATACAAAACTGTTTTTCAACAACCTTATAAAAGACCATGTATTTAGACGAAGAGCAATAACCAGGGACAGATTACTAGAAAATGTTAGTAATTTTACAGATTTTAGGAAAGCAGCTTATTTCTAGGGCTCTCTGAAATATTCACATAAAGCATGCAGTAAGTGAGACAATAAAAACGTTAGTGACTGCTTGAGATACAAATTTCCTGCAATAAAAGAAGGTTTAATGTTTCTGTTAGTATAGTTATCAAGAGAGATGCTCCTTAATAAAGAAAGACAAAGAATTAATTAACTAAGAATTAGAATATTTATAAATCTTGGTAGTGAAGAGGCCAATGTTCAAATTGCAGAATTCAGGAAAATGAGTTTTTGACAAATGCATTTACTGCACCAATACCACTGCATTCAGTGCAAAATGAAACATCTTATTTTGTTAGGTCATGACTTACAATTTAACTATCATGTTAGGGGTTTGAATATAATGGAAAACAATGTTTTGAGCATGGGCCACTTACTTTCATGGAACATATCTATATGCATAAGACACACACACACACACATCTTAAATTGTCATTTCATTTACCAAATATGCTGGAAACTACAAACTTAATGAGAATCTTTACCAGTTTTGGATACCTTACATCTTGCTCATCATGATATTTAACATTAAAGAGCATGATGTGACAATTGGTAAGTAGGCCTACACTATAATGTTGAGATAAAAGAACAGCAGTTTGCTTTTTTCTGCATATTGCATTTACTTCTAAACTTTTCCCTTTAAATTTCTTGTCATATGAAGAAGAGCATTTTAAAACCACAATATTTGACTTCTTAATAAAGAACAAAGATAATATGGTAATAGAACTACTCTTTTGCCTATGTTTGAAGCACTTCAAAAATTTTTATAGACTTCTGCACAAGCAATGTTATCTGTGGAACTGAGTATGATTTCTTGTATGAGAATCCAGGTTTATAATTTGATATTTCATCTCAGTACATTACTATTCATTGACATAGCCAGGCTACCAGCCATGTGATAGTGCTAAACAATGCCTTAAATAGTTTTTTCTCAACTATTTCCTGATGATTCCTGATTTCATTTCTGTAGTTTTTGTCACCAAGTACTACTTTGAAAAGCAAGAACATGATCAAAAAATTTACGAAAAAATTTAATTCACCCTTCCAAAGTTTTATGATTGGAAATAAAAAAAATTCCACTTCCTCTACTTCTAGATATCTATTCAGAAACCATTGCTTTATCAAGGAATTGGAAATGGAAACATTACTTTTCATTGAGAGATAAAAATACTGTAACTTTCAAGAAAAAGAAAGGTAATTTTTAAATTTCATGAGACTTACATAATTTTACTATTAATGCACATACACTGAAATTACTTTCTAGAATAGAAATGATACATGAAAATAAATAAAGGGAAGACCTACCTATTGTGTGGAAGAGAAATTTAAAAAAAACAAAAACAATAGTACAGGTTATTAACAAAACAAAGATCACCTAATATGTAACATTCAAACGAGATAAGTTAATTGCTATAAGAATATACCATTTACAAAATTACAATATTCTATACATTGTAATCTGTTTCTAATGAAGTATGAAACTGTATTCCTGGATTCCCCCACAAGAAATCATACACAGTTACACCATCATTTATAGTGCAGGAGTCTTTGAAAGATTTCTAAGAGCTACCAAAACAGGCACAAGATTGCATCTCTCAATATCATCCAATAAGTATATCCTTACCTAAGTAAGCTAAATTCTTCTTCTACTTGTTACACAACTCCTTTCTTCACATACACACAAACATTCACATATTTACTTTTTTATATACAGTTGAACTTATGTGTTATAAATTATTTTATTCCTTTAATGTTCACTGATCCACTAATGTACCCCTAATAATCACTTTAATGTTCCTAAATAAAAGAAATTTGCTCACAAATACCAACAGAAATTTGAATATTAGAAAGAAATCTCTGAAAAGTTATATCTGGAGTGTCCTATTATATAGATGTGAAGGATGGACGCTTTTAAAAACAGACAGGAGTCGTTTAAAAGCTTGCAAGATGTGTTGAGGCAAAAAATACTGAAGGTTTCTGGACTGAAAAAATTTCAAACAATGTTATTTTAGAAAAAGTGAAAGAGGAGAGATTCCTATTAAAAACCATTTGGAACAGAAAAGCAAACAAAATTCTTTGGACACATTTTTAGGCATAACAAATTCTTAATACAATTTCGGAATGTAAAATAGTTGGAAAAAGAGGAAGAGGGAGACCTAAAATAAAAACTTCAAACACAATTACAATTCAAAAAATTATGCAGATATGAAAATGACAACAGAGGACAGAATGTCATGGCGGCAGCGACAAGGCACTTTTGGCCTTTAGGATGATGATGATGATGATGAATATGGGATCTGTTATATATAAAAATTCTTAGAAATATAAAACTGAATATATGAAAATAATGAAAGAAATAATGGTATAGCAACATGTTTTACTAGGTACATACGTTTCTCCTAAGTAATAGATTATACGATCAGATGAAATGATAAATCCATGCTGGGATGTGTAATTATGATATGGTGAATAATATATAATATAATACAAAACATATGTGTTATAAATTATAATTACAGATAGATACTGCTGAATATGAGGGATAATACATTTGCAACAATTTGTCAACTACATGAAGAAATTTTTTCTTCAATGAGAGAGTGTGCATGCAGCACAGAGAACTGCTGAAATATGTTCAATAAACAAACATCCTTTTTCAATTGATCACTGAAGAGACGCACCAGTATACTATACAATCTGAAAGCTAATACTGCCAACTGCAAATACTGTGAAAACTGGAACAAAAACGACTTCTAACACATTCCTTAGAATTATACAAAAAACAATCTTGCAATACTTAGTGCTGCTACATGTCTGCCAAAGGGTTAAAATGGCTTTTGAATTGCTAATCAAAATACTCCCTCTTCCAGATATAACCCGAAGGATAAACATGCCCCAGGATCAGAGAATTGAAACTGAGATTTCCTAATCTAGAACCTAAAATGTTTGATATGGCATTAACCACTTCATGACAGTAACGGTCTACTTTTTCACTTGACTCTTCCATTTATTATTTTATTTATTTCACTTGCCATAACCTCTTCCAATTGCACAGAGATTTATCACTATTTTTTTTTGGTTTTTTTCTTTCTAAACCAATGAAAATGGATTTGTAAGCATTACAGTTTAAACACAAGAAGCAAGACATTCAGATATTTGAGGGTGATAGGTGTATTAAAATATCATGTTTGAAAAAAGCAGGTGTTCATGCAAAGGTAACCAAGATGCATACTGCAATTTCTCTCATCACTGCCATCTTGGCAATCGTTGTAGCCATCACATTTGTTCTTCTTAGGGATACAGTGTCCGTTGTCACATCGGAAATGTCCTTCTGTGCAAGCTGGAAATACACACACAACATGCTTTATTACTTCACAAGATGCAGTGTGAATTTTTGCCTTCTCAACATCATGCAGTACCTCTCTCTGGTTCTGAAAATATGAGGTTTTCTAAAATATGTGAATGTTCACATGCAGCACATGTTCATGGGGCAATAAAGAAAAGTTAAAACCAACTTTTTTTGATCAACGACTCAGGGTACAAATAACGATTGACATCTTAAAATAGGTAAATTAATAAATCAATATTTCCTAAGATTTTCAATATGAAGTTCCTGTAATTGAATCTGCATTTTTTTTTTGCATTCCATGAGTATCTATGGCATGATAGTTTTAATTCAATCCTCCATTTCAAATATGTTTAAGGTACTGCATATATTACATACTTTACCACATTTTTCTAACTAAAATTCAATAGCAAATTTAAAACCTTCAAATTTTATCACTGTTGGCAATATCTTTTCCTTCAATTATTATTGAAAGCAGTTTCTAATGGTTGCAGAGAGAGGTACTACCATATAAACATGCATTAATATGCAAACACTTAATTTTGAAGTAATGGTGCAATTTTTTCCTTATTATTTTATATGTGATTAAATCAATGGTGATCAAACAAAGATTGTAAACGATTTTCCAAAATATTTGTATACATCTAGGAGAAAACACATGCCACTTATAAATTTCAAACTGAAACTAAGTTGCCTAATATTTCTAGTAGGGCACAAGTTAATATCCTTTTTAAAATATAATGTTACAGTAAAACCCCTGCTATTCATGGGATGGTAGGGAAAATAGTGTAAATTGCAGGATGTGTAAATAAGGGGAAATTATATTTTCCCCCCTGCAAAACTATGAGTATAATGTATTTAGATACATACAAACAATCAGCATTATAATATGCAGAATTAGATACATAATAAACAAAATTACAAGGTCAACTCGAAATAGGATAGTAATGTGCGGCATTGGAAATTGCAGATGTATTTGCACTGAATTTTGAATTCCCCAAGAACATGTCCACGAGTCCTTGCCATCCACTGATGGAAACCACTGGCAAAGCAACAAAGTACTCAAAAGAGGGCAATGGTATTTTCATTGTTAGAAAAAATGCAAAGTTTACATATTCTCCAACTCAATAAAAAGATCATTTTTGTCAGTTTGTAATGATTTCTGACTAGTAGATTTTAATATTTCCCCCTCCCTCCCCCAAAAATAAAAGAACGTTCAAGTTGAAGGTTCCAGAAATGAAGCTACTTTGAGCTATTAAAGGATGGAAAAATTACATTTATTTTAGAAAGAGAAAGAGTGAAATTGTGAAGAAAATAAAATAAACAAATAATTGTGAGACTATCTCTTTTATATTCTTCTATTAGTAAAGCATGTTGGTCATTCTTCCTTTCTTTTTAAATATCGCTGTAATGCCAAGAAATGAAAATGAATATATGCCTAGCAGCTAAATCATGATTTTCACTGTATTTAAATCTTCTAGTATTCATGTAACATTTCATAAAACTTTTTATAATATTGAACAATTTCATTAGTATTTCTGTTTTGGGCATGTTTAAAGTAGGAAAGTACAGTGACAGTGTGTGACACGAAGTGCTTTTCAGATGGCGTTGTGGCAGCAGGCTGTTGTAAATTGTGGGAAAAATGAAATAATATAAAATTGAAAAAATGGATGGTACCAACAAGAAATGTTGTAAATGCCGAGAAAATGTAAGCTGCGAGAAAGGAAAAGGATCAGGGTTTTACTGTACTCTTATTTTGAGAAAGTGAAAATAGGAACTGCTGAACCCCCTTCAATATTACTGCACTCTGGGTACAAATGTCAGTTCACCATTGTACAAGGTACAATTTTATCTTACCCCTAGTACCAAATTCTTTAATATCCTGAGAAATTAACAGGGCAAAAGTTCAGCAATGAAAAGAATGAGACCGAATATTAAACCAAGAAAAAAGTAATTAAAGAAAATAATTGCTGTTTAAAAAAAATTAAAACATAAATTGGAACATGTAAAAAGTACTAATAAAAGTCTATTAATTCTCAAATTTTTGAATTTTCTAAGCGAAACTCACATTAATGAAAATTATGAAAATTATAAAAATGATAAACCATAAGAAATTAATAAAATCATTCACGGGCAAAGGAAAAGGGGCTATTGAAAACTTTCAAAGCCTAAACAGTAGTAACGTTTTATATATCCACGTGAAATATTTCTTTAAATTTTCATTAAAAGATGCAAATATGAAATGATAAAGGCAACTATTTAAAGCTCTATAAAAACTTGTAAATTTTTATAGCACTTGCTACATTATTGGAAAAATATCAAGAAATAACATTTCCTTTTCAATATACCTTATGAATGATTTTACAAAATTAATAACATTTGTTATAAAACAAATTATTATCTCATGACTTCAGATAATTATTCTGTACAGCACACAATGCTTATTAGCACAAAAGTCTTGCACACAAAGCACCATTGGAAAAAGCAATCACCAGCATAACAAACAACAAGCAATGCAGATGTATTCAAGAATATTTAAACACACACACTTTTCAAGAGTTTGCAGAAAGGCCTCCACTTATGCATGCACCGACACCATAATTTTTTGATTATTATACAAATCTTTCTAATTGTATTAATAATTAATAAGGATCTCTTAATAGGATTTCAGTTCTTTGGAATTTTTTGACCTTAATTCATTAATACACTAAAAAACATCACTAGGCAAATATACACAAACAGAAAATAAAGTAGTAAATCTTATATATTGCAGTATTATTCAATGTAAACATTTAACTTTCTTATCCATAAACATAAAAATAAACACTAATTTTTTCGTTAAACCACATTATTTGTTGACTAAATGTTGTTAATAATTTTAAATTCTCATGCCAATAGAACTGAATTCCTAGAACACATTAAGTTTACCAGAAATTGCAAATATGCATTTTATTAAACATTTTTAAGTTTCAGTTTATGCGTTTTCTTTAGACTAAATAGGTAGTTTTATACTTTTATTTGCATAAATTGAAAAAGGAGAAAAACTGTTTTTATTTCAAGGTAATAATTTTATTTTAATTTACAAAATTTTAATACAAAATTTAAAACCTATGACGACACATATGTTTACTATACCTCTTTTATCTCTTCAATGGTTTTCCAGAAATTGAAGAGAAATAAAGAAATAAGTATATATAATGTGGGTCATAGATAAAGTTTCTAATAAACATAGAAATAAACATAAAGGAACAGATACTACTCAGCTAGAAGAGATTTGGAAACAAGAAAACTAGACAAATACAAATGTTTGGTGATGTAGACAGCGTCTGATCAGGGAGTAAACAATAAATAATAGAACAAAACTTACGACAGTTCTTTTCATCAGAGAAATCACGAGGACCACAATCATATTTGTGATTGCAGAACTTTTCACGTGGAATGCATTTTCCAGTCTCGCATCGAAACTCAACTTCTGTGCAATTTCTGGGCATGTAATGAACTGCATCTAAAGAGAATTAGTCAGCCATTGGTTCAATAAAATGCAACCCAAAAAACTCATTACAACTGGCATGCGATGCTACGCCATTCTATCAAACAAGACATGCACATTTTAATGCTTGTTGCATCAAGCCACATTTCAATGCTTGGATAGCCCACTCGTCAACACCAGATCCAGAGAAAACCTGTAACTTTAAAGCCTGCGAAACAACTTGCCAACATATTTGTCTATTGCTTAGTATTTACATCACAAACATACCATTCACACATATACACCACTTACAAAAACTGAAGAATCCTACAGTAATGTTTGAAACTATTAGTAAGAATTTATGCTTCACTATAATTAATATAGTGATTGTTAACATAATAATACCAATAGAAAAGTAAATGATGATGTGCAATTGTTAATTTTTTCTATCATTTTGGCATTTCTTTTGCTGTATCTATGAAGTGAACTATGAATAAATATGTTGTTAATGAAAATGTGTCTCAAATTCACCATCAGATTTTGTTCTTATTAACATCCCCAACAGATATTTAATCTAAAATGTAATATTATTTTCCTAATATTTAGATATATTTATCATTGAATCAGTACACTTATATTATTACATGGTCTGTACACCAGGGTCTGACAGATCCTGCTATTATTTTCTATTATTTATTATAAGAGATAGACTTTTAACTGCAGCAACAATGGGGACACACATGGGTTTCTTTGCATTCAATAAATATTAATATAGGCCTAAACAATAATCAAATGTAATGGACCTATCTAGAATATTATTGATAACAATGTTGAATTTTCAACCAAATTAGGTGAAGTGTCCTGCTTTGCCAGGTATTTATTTACCACATTTATTAGCCAGGAAATAGATTGAATTCTATATTTCCTTCTAAAATGGAAATATTTTTATTTACATCCCTACTATCTTCATCACACTTGCATTTTGGGTTGCATTTGTAACATAAATCTGGGTTATCACTGTACATTGACAGCAGATCATCAAGAGGAGGTAGAGCCAAAGATGAGTCATGGAATATCGAAGTCTTAAAAATCATTAAAATTGGTGAAGTAGAGTATGAAGAGTTAGCTGCTAAACATTGTTAATTTCATTTTTAATTAACGCAGATACATAGCATACACCAAAATGATCCTGTGAGATGCAACTGAATGTTCAATCGATGGGATTCTTTTAAGCTACAGGTTGATGTACTTCACATTCCAAATCAAATTTTCTCGTCAATACCTGCAATGCCAATTGCAGATGTACAAGACCAGAACATTTACAATTGAACAGAGTTCATTGACCCTGGTGTACCTTTGGAGGGTTAAGAATGAAGATGAAATAGTTCTCTTTTAAGTACTCAGCATCTGTTCAAAACATAACACTCACAAAGTCAATTTAAAAATCTCAATGTAAATATGAATAATTTCACACACATTACAACTTTCATTCTAAAGACTATTTCAACAATATATTAAAATTTAAGCCTGAAAGACAATGTTAGTAAAAACTTAAAAGCATATTGCAACTTATATCTACCTATATCAACAATAACCATTGATATGCCTAGAATATTCATGCAAAACCACCAAAATAATGTAACTAAATATTATTCTACTAAAATAAAATATTTAGTGCGCAAATTGTTTACTGCAAAGTATTTAAAGGAATCTGTAATCCTAGAATGAAAACAAATGAACTAATGTTGTTTTTTTCTGAAAACTCATTCATTTAATGCATTTAATGCATTTGATTAAATGTATAATATGAAATACGAATTTCTGAGTAGTCTGAATTTTTTCCAATACTGTATATCTCACAGCTGATTAAACAGAAAAGAACAAACATTATTACCTAATTCACTTTATTTACTATGGTACTCATAGAAAAACAACAACCCCCCTTTGTAATAAAAGAATCCAAGTATTTGAGTTCTCAACATCCTTAATTTTAACATAATAAATTATTAAAGGTTTTAAAGGAACTGATATTTACAGCAATATAGAACATTTCTATTCTGAGTATCAAAAGCTACATATTGATACATACTAAGTAAAATCCAAAAACTATTTGTATAACATTAAATAAGATAATACACAATAATAACTGCAACAGTTATTTCTTTTCAATCAAACCCAGTGAAAAGAAAAAATAAAAACATTTAAGACAAGAAATAAATACAGAAAGAAACAACTTAAACAATCTTCAAAACTGTTCACATAAATATGAGCATTTAAAAAAAAACTCTCAAAATGTATGTTAGAGTGTGATGTACTTGTTATAATTTCTTACTGAACAATTTGATTTTCATTTGACCTGATATTCAAGAGCAGTACGGAAATTCTTATCATCAAGGCTACTATGAGGACAAATAGTATGTGAACTTCAATCCTGGATTATAATTATCTATGCTGTCAGTCCTAATACAGGGAATTGAAAGTATTCATTAAGTCCGTCATAAAAATTAAGGGTAATAAAACACTCACGGCAGCCATCTTCATCTGATGCATCATAAGGACAATTCCTGGTGAAATCACAGCGCAGGTTTCCGTCAATGCAGGTTCCGTCATTGCACTGCCACTCCCCAGGTTTACACACTAAAATAACAAAAAAGCAGTTTCACATATTGATTACTGCAGAAACGTCAAGTAAATACATTTAAATATGACAAAATAAATTGCTGAAAAAAAATTTTGTTGAATGTAAATTTAGTTGGGTCTATGCAAAAAAACCAGCTTTATTAGACAATTTTGGTGCAAGGCAACTTAGTAAAGAAAAGTTGAAACAATTTATCTAAAATTAAATAATGACTGACTTTTAGGTGGTACAATGGGTCTATTTATCTCTGGCCTTTTTAAACATTTCAACATTTGAATCTTAATATATAGTTTCATGCATTCTATAATTTAACTTTCCTAAAACTATAAAATACTTTTGTTTTGTAACCTCTAATTTATAAAATTAAACCACAATGAAGTTAATACGAACAATGATGCTTTCTATTGAATAAAATGCCTCTGAGAACTGAAGCTAAGAACTACAGATCAAAGAAAAAGAGATGCCTTTGAAATGTAGCAACACAGAAAATTATTGACAATTCATTGAACACACAAAAGAAAAAACTTGTCTGAACAGTAAGAGGTAAAGCCAGATTGCTCTTTAGAAAGTAGAGCCATGAGGCAAAAATTATCAATCTTCTTTACCTATTGTACGGAGAGCAGACTCCTTGGAGAAGGACTTTATGTTAGGAATAATGGATGTGACTAAGAGACAGGAAAGAAGGAGAATGAGTTGGCATTAAAAAATCCAAAAAATAACAACTGGTCAGCAATAAATAGATCAAGCAATAAATAGCAAGCAAAAAATAGATCATCAACACTGGGGAGGATGGAGAAAATTAATAACAGAGGTGGCAACAACATAAACAACAACAATAAAAGAGATATTTTGAAAAATAGGCTGACAAATAAATGTGAATATTCCTGGGAATCTGTAAGGATTGCGATATACATCTACTAATATATTATCGTTATTGTACAATATTATTTCTTCTTCGGTGATTATGTCACTTGTAAGAGAAATCTGAAGATAGATTTTTGAATCTTATGGGCAAAAAACTCAATTAGGGAGGAAATAAAAAGTAAGTTTAATGTATCTTCACCCCAGGACATCTTAATTTTTTCTGTTTTGCACTTGATGTTACATGATGTGACTTGATTATTAAAAAATTAAAATTAACTGCTTTTTCAGAGCTTACAATAGGTGTTTTCAAAAACATTATTGAGTCGACAGGATGATGACAGTAAAAAGTTCAATGCAAAGTAATACATATGCTTTTATATTTTAAGGTTTAAAGGACCAACCTTGCAATAACAACTTTTTGTATCTGTAAAGTAGATTTATGGACTATGAGGGTGAAAATGACTTAAACACATTATTGTGTGTTTTCTGTGGAAGTCACCTACATACATCGCACATATTTATACAAAAGAAAGAAACAAAATGACCCTTCTAACTCAAAATATTGAAGTTTGAACATTATGTAGTAATGCAAGCCCCTTGACAATGCACAAATATATTGCTTTTACAAACAGCTACACATCTATCAAACAAAGGAAAGAAACAGAACTTTACAAAGAAAAAAAAAATTGTTATAGAAATTCAACGAAAATTCAAGGGCAATGAATTTCCATGTGATTTTCTCTCTGGTCTGTGTTGTGAGAGTCTCATCCACAACCTCTTATGTTAATGACAAGGGAGAATACTAAATCATGTTTAAAGTGTTTTTGATTTTCAAAAATACATATATTTCATTATTTTTCTTTTAATTTGTCTTGTTACACTGTATGTGCACGGAGACCTGCCGGTCGAGGGAAGCAGGCATATGAATCTTGACTGTTTGGGATATGCAATGTACTAGGCAAGGTTCCCAACGTCCCGGCCGTCATATTCCGACGAAACGGATGGTATTCGATTTAGAATCTCAGTTGCCCTTAAGAATATCTCGTTCTTAGAGATAATACTGGGATGTTGGCAACCATCCCATCGTACTCCGTGCTTCAAGGTGGACGGTGTATGTCAGGGAGCAAATCGCATTTGCCTTGAAGAAGGTCGCAAATCGTCCGGAACGTTAGCAACGGCGTCCCCCAGTGCAGCAAAATTTCAACCAAGATTGCCACATTGGGGAATTTTGTCCCCAGAGTGGGGATTTATTTTCGCTGTGGGGAAAGAACGTGAAACTTAGAAGGACGGGGAAATGTTTGGGGATTTGGGGGGAGGGGATTATTTTCAGGCAGAGTGGAGACAGAAATAATATTCTCTGAATTATTTTGAATAAAAAAGAAACAATAGACATTATTCTGTCTTACTTTTACGTATCCAAAAGGGAAATATAAACGTCACGCATAGAGAAATAAAATAAAATAAAAAAACATAAGAAAAAAGAAGGATTTCGAGCAATTGAAAGGAGGATGAATGGCTGAATTTTGAATTTAAGAGAGACAGCCAATGGAGTCGTCAGGGACAGCTCATGTCATCTCGATTCATTGCTTGGAGAATATTTTTCATTTGATGAGAGAGGTTTTTCGGGGGAAAGTGCGACCCAGCTATTCCAATCGAGTTCGGGGCCGCGGGAGCCCTCCGTCTCGGGGCAGGGCATACGTACGGCAACTGACTTCGTCGCTTCGATCCTCGCAGTCGGCCACTCCGTTGCAGCGCTTGAGCACGCTGATGCAGGTCTGGGGCGAACGGCAGGTGAATTCTCCTTTCGCGCACTCCCTGGGCGGGGAGGCCTCCGCTCCGCCGCCGCCGCCGCCGCCTGGGGCGCCAAGTCGCGCTCAGGGCGCGCCTTCCCACGGCCCCGCCCACGCCCACGCCGCCACCCACGCCAGCGGCCACCCCTTCGCCCCGCGACGTGACACGGTTCGCAACGCGGTTAAGTATTGTCTTTCAGAGTGCGGATCAAGACGGAAAGACATATGTGAGCAACGTATCCGACTTAAGTCAATGAGCTTCAAGCACCGCTTTCCGTTAGCGGGAATTTTAAATGCAGCCAGGTATCAAAATTATCACCTTTTTACGAGTCATTGAAACAGATATATGAAGCATTTCTTTTAAATATTGCATTTTGAACACCTCCATCGTGTTAGTTTTGGTTGGTCGCCGTTGAAAATCCTCACTTTACTTGTATGCCACTTTCAAATTGTTTCTTAAACACTACTCGCTCTCGTCGGCCAGCGTCTGGTCTGGTCTGGTCACGTGGTTCATGACGCAACCTGGTGCTGCGCAGAACGAGCAAAAATCGTCGCGCTGATCTACCCTGCGATTTTCGTAACTCTGCCCCTAGCAGGTACCAGCTGTTAACAGTTTCATCCAATCGGGAGCTTCAACATCACCAGTGACGTCACTATGGCGTCGTTCAAGCTTAAGCCGGAGCTTAACGTCACCATAGTGACGTCACTATGGTGTCGTTCAAGCTCCCGATTGGATGAAACCGTCAACAGCTGATACCTGCCAGGAGCAGAGTTGCATAAATCGCAGTATAGCTCCTCCATTTCTTTCCACCACATCGCCTACCGCCTTCTATGTCTTCGCATTGTATGCCTGCCTGAATGTGAAGTAGAAACAACCGGCGTCAGTAGCCGAACTGCTTAATCAGGTTCCGTGGCCACGGAGGTTAAGAAGCACGAGACACCGAGAGTCCCTGAATGGGAGACGGTCTTGGAATCCCGGATACTACCGGCGCTGAGGCCCTGGACAATAGGGATAAAAGGAAATGAAATTATGACAAAATGGTTACGTTCAAGGAGAAATTATTTATCTTTATTTAATTCTGTATCTCTATATTAATCTAGGTATTTTAATTCTTTAACTCTTTATTAATCTAGGTATTTTACCATTACCTTGTCTCTTCATATATGAATTAGTGCTTTTTGTCAAAAATGACTCACTTGAGGGCGGGAATATAGTTTCAGCAAACACCGTTGTCTATAACTACAACACTCGACGTAGTAATCGTATTCATCGGGTGAAAGTATCAACAGTTCACGACAAAAAATTCACATATAATACATGTACATTATTTTACAACACCTTGCCAGATGACATTAAACGATTAAATTCGATTCAAAAGTTTAAGGCCCAACAAAAATCTTTTCTGCTACACAGTTTCTATACAATTAGAGACTATACCGAGAATCCAAAAGAAAAATAATATTAATTTTAACAATGACATTTAATGTATCATATAGCATTTGGATTGTATAATTGTAAAGAACCTATAACAAGTATTGTACTTCAGCGTCTGGGTCAATGACCCCCATCTCGATCAAGTTTTCGTCGTTTCCCTGATCCTTAAGCAAATGCTGAGGTGGCAACTTGTTTTGCTTCTGGACATAAATGTCACTTCAAATTAACTTCTCCCCATAGTACATCACACACAGTTTTTAACTGTTTTTGACGTAAATTAATTAATAAAATATTAAGTACTCCACTTTTAATTGTCTGGCAACTACTTTGGAGCCGATTTAGTGTAAATGCCGAATAAAGCCTTGAAACTTTCTTACGAGATGTGGCTTGAAGGAACACAAGGATCTAATAACGTACAATTGTGAATAAATTGAGGACAATTAATAGCGGCAACAACAACAACAACAACAATAATAATAATAATAATAATAATAATAATAATAAATTAGTATTCTCAGAATTTCTGATACGAGTTCGGGCGTTAACTTTCCAATCAAAAATTATTTATATAAATTATGTTCTGATTGTTCCCGGCCCCAGCCGGGAAACAAACCCGAATCACCCGGTATACGCCCAGTTGCTCAATTATTCAAACTGTCAAAACAATTTCTATCAATGTCATTATACGTAGTTGCTATGGAACTGCAATAGTGGTTGAAAATTGAGAAACGGGAAACGTATTCTCAATTAATTGTTAAACTTCCCACTATGACCAACTGATGAAATGTAAAGTTATTGTTGTAGTTTTATTTCTATCCTACATACAGTCATGCATGAGTAGCGACGACATAGAAGGCGGTGGCCTGATGGCAGTAGTTTTTCTTTATTTCTGCCGTCTATAAACTTTAAA